CCAGCTGTTCCACTTCCCATCTAACTCCCTGCTAAAGCTCTGGGAAAGCAGTGGAGGATGGCTTAAAGCCTTGGGATCCTGTACCCACATGGGAGACCTGAAGGAGGTTCCTGGTTCTCAGCTTTGGCCAAGCCTAGCTTTGGCTACTGTGCCCATTTGGGGAGTGAACCAGCAGATGGAACATGTCTCTGTCTCTCCCCACTTTCTCGCTGTTACTCGTTCAAGTAAAAATAAACAAGTCTTAAGAAAATAAAAATGCCTGAGTCCTGCAGTGCCATAATCTAGGAAAGCACAAGGTTGAACAGGGCAAGTTTCCCAACTGCAGGGCTTCTCAGAGTGGCTCTATTACGCAGGGGGAGTGGCCACAGCAAGAGCTGTGGAGGGATTGTCACACAAGGCATCGTGGGTTTCACAGGCCATGTGTTTGTTGGGAGGTCATGTCCTTGCTTTCTCAGCTGTCACTGGGCAAGGTTCCCCCAAAGGCGAGTCCCTCTCACTCTGGCAAGTCCTCTGCAAATGACTCAAGTTCGGGATTTTCTGGGCTTGTGATCCACCTGCTTTCAACAAGACCCACATCATTTTCTAGGAGGTTCTCGTGTTAGGCTCTTGTTCAGTCTGTTACCCACTGGCTCAAAAATTCATGCTGGGCATTCAGAGTCAATAGGAAGGAATTTCAGCTGCAGCAAGTTTGTCATAAGACTTGCGTGGGCTCGTGAGAGTCCAGCTAGCTCTTTACTGGGGCAGCCACAGGTGCCCATAGTGAGCCTGCTGCTCTCAGCTTGCTTGCAGCCCCAGGCACCCACGGCAGGAGGAATCTCCTGCGCCAGGGCTCTGCTTGCCAGGCTGCCCACTCCGCAGGGAAGCCAGGACCGCTGGCCAACAATGCCTGCTTTATTTGCAACTGCTGCCTCACAGGCCTGTGCCCTGTCTAAGCCATCCTGCCCATCCCGAAAGAATGCCCAAGTCCAAAAACAAGCAGCAGTAAGAGAATTCAGAGCACATTGGTTATTCTGATCAAATTCAAACCAGTTTTTATATCTGCTAAGTGATAAAGAAAACTCCATTGGAGAGGCAATATACTAATGTGAAAGGCAAAAATTTTAAGCAAATTATTTCACAAGGCCAGCCCTACTCTGAGATCTCAAATAGACTGATGCATGTGACACAGAACCACGTTCCTGAGGTTATCATTATGGTGCAGTCAATTAAGCTGTCAGCTGCAACACCAGCATCCAATATTGAAGCGTCTGGCTGCTGTTTTTTTTTTTTTTTTAAAGATTTATTTATTTTTATTGGAAAGGCGGATATACAAAGAGGAGGAGAGACAGAGAGGAAGATCTTCTGTCCGATGGTTCACTCCCTAAGCAGCTGCAACAGCTGGAGCTGAGCCAATCCGAAGCCAGAAGCCAGGAGCTCCTCCGGGTCTCCCACATGGGTGCAGGGTCCCAAGGATTTGGGCTGTCCTCGACTGCTTTCCTAGGCCAGAAGCAGGGAGCTGGATGGGAAGCGGGGCCGCTGGGATTAGAACTGTCGCCCATATGGAATCCTGGCACGTGCAAGGTGAGGACCTTAACCACTACACTATCGTGTCAGGCCCGCTGCTCTGGTTTTAATCATGCTTCTTGCTAATGTACCTAGAAAGGCAGTAGAAGATGGCTGGAGTACTTGAGCCCCTGCCACCTACATGGAAGACCCACATGGAGCCCTGGGCTTGTGCACTCTGTTTCTGTTATTCCGCCTTTCAGATATCCAGGCCCAGGACCCAATTAGGAGCTTCCAGGAGACCACAGAGAGATGGCTTGCAAACGGAGGCTCTGATTTGGGCTGGTTGGTGACCAACTTCATTGAGCTCTCTGTGAATTTGGCATTTGCTTCTTCTTCCCTTAGAGACAGATTGACTAGCTTTGCTGATGCTCTCACAAGGAGACTCCTGTGGAGTCAGGTCAGGCCCTCTGACATGTCACACTGTGTCTTCTCCCCTCCTGGGACCTGGCTTGCCCTAGTCCCTGCACCTGTAGCACTGTCACCCTGGTCACTCTGCTCTCCCACATGTTGTCTGTGACCACAGGACCGTCTGCAGTCACTCCCCCTGATTGTGTGTACCTGCTGCTGTGTGCCAGCTCCTACAGGACTGCAGACTCCAGTTGACACAGGCTGGCCCTCTCATTCATCCTGGGGTCTTGACTGCTGAGAGCATGCCTGGTGTGGAGGAAGGGCTCTGCAGTTATGTGCTGAACCAATGAATACATCTTCCTCTAATTGCCTCCAGGACTCCATCCTACTGCCCTTGCTGAGTCGGCTTCTGTGCTTACTCTGCTACAGTTCCCAGCTGCAGGGAGGGTGTCTGCCTGCTCAGCTTCCTGTGTAACTATACTGCAAGCAACCTGAAACCAGGGACACTGTTAGCATCTAATGGGACCTGACCACCAGAAGATTCTTCAATCAGCTTTAAGGAATGAATAATTTCCAATGTTCAAATCTATTTAGGCTGTACTTGGATCAAAATGCATGTGAGGGCCCAGTGTGGTAGCCTAGTGGCTAAAGCCCTCACCTTGCACCCACCAGGATCCCATATGGGTGCCAGTTTATATCCCAGCTGCTCTACTTCCCATCTAGCTCCCTATTTACAGATTGGGAAAGCAGTCAAAGATGGCCCCAACCCTTGGGACCCTGCACCCATTTGGGAAACCTGGAAGAAGTTCCTGGCTCTTGGCTTTAGATCAATTCAGCTCAGGTCATTGCGGCCACTTGGGGAGTGAAACAGTAGATGGAAGATCTTTCTCTGTGTAAATCTGATTTCTAATAAAAAAAAATCTTTTTTTTTAAATATATCTGAAGCAGCTTTAAGTGTGAAGATATATACAGGTGGTCTCTGACGAGTTCTTGGAAATGCATACTATAAAACAATTATGTGTGGATTTCAAAAATGACTTTGCCCCAAAATAAGTTTATCTTTCTGAAAAAAATATTTGATTTACTTGGGAGACAGAGAGATGAATCTCCCACTCATGGGTCCACTCCCCAGATGCTCAGAATGGCCAAGCCTGGGCCAGTGGTGAGGAACTCAATGCAGGTCTTCCAGGGAGTGACAGGAACCCAACCACTTGAGTTACCAGACTGCACCTTGGGAGCTGCATGCCCAGAAAGTGGGGTCAACAGCAGGAGCTGGGAATAAAACCCAGGTAGCATCCTGTGGGACGTAGGCATCCTTAACCAGTGTCTTAACCACCAGGCTAGATAGCCACCCCAATAAGCTCACCTTGATTCCATTTTCCATGAACTTTTTTAAGTACCCTCAAGTTTATAGTACAGTATATATGATACAATATAGAGAGCACTGGCAAGAGGAGAGGGAATTGAAACTGTTTTGCTTTTTTTTTTTAAAGATTTATTTTATTTTTATTGGACAGTCAGATATATAAGGAGGAGGAGAGACGGACAGGAAGATCTTCCGTCCAATGATATAATCCCCAAGTGACTGCAATGGCCAGAGCTGCACCAATCCGAAGCCAGGAACCTGGAGCCTCTTCCAGGCCTCCCACATGTGTGCAGGGTCCCAAAGTTTTGGGCCTTGGGCTGTCCTCAACTGCTTTCCCAGGCCAGAAGCAGGGAGCTGGATGGGAAGTGGGGCTACAGGATTAGAACCGACGCCCATATGGGATCCTGGCACATGCAAGGCGAGGACTTGAGCTATTAGGCCACCTCGCCAGGCCCTTGCTTTGATTTTAAAGATATTGTTAATTCAATTCCTCTGTTTGAAAACTGCAGGCAACGTGGAAGTGGCTCGATGTACCCATCCAACCCAACACCTGTGAATCACACCACCATCTGCACTTGGTGCCAAGGTCATCACAGGTTCCTGTGTTCTGCACTCTGGTTATCACTTGGTTCCTGTCAGAATCCCAGGACAACTTACCTTCACTATCCCACTGACAGAGGATGGCCACACCTCAGACCCAGCAGTCAGGGAACCTCTGTGGCCCCCGGGGGATGCATTCCCAGAAGAGAAACCAGCATCTCCCGGAGGCATCACCCTCACCTCCAGAAAGATGCAAAACCACAAGAAGCTTAAGGTCCTCAGAGCAAGCCACAGTGCTGGGGCCTTCTGCCTCAGCACCGTGATCAGGCCTAGGCAGGTGGCTTTGGCACTCAACTTCCTTATGGGGAAACAGGGGTTAACAAAATAAAGGCCTTAGTGAGCTGAGGACAGAATGACATGTAGATTGCGCTGCACAGCCTGGCAGGGGTAGGTGCTCAGTAAACACAGGGCCCTCCCCCCACTTCCTGGTTTCTAGGCCTGTGAGGCCAGCTCCACATCACTGCCAGGAATCCAGCACGCGGCTCTCCCCACCCAGCCCTACTCCCCGCTAGGTCAGTGACCGTGGAGGCCGTCCTGGCACACTTTTTCTCTGGCCTCTCCCCCAGGGCTCAGCTCCATTTGTAGCCCTGAGGCTTCAGCACAGCACTGGCCACTGAGTCCCTACAATGTCCCGACATCTCCTTCTCCTCCTTCCTCATAATCATAGCCACAGCACTGAGTGTGAGCAAGCATTGCTGCCTGGGAATCTTCCAAAACACCAGGTCTGTATTTTGGCCATCATTTATCACATTTGAAACTCCTACAGGTAGAAGAGCGTATAAAATTTCTCAAGTGCCAAAAGCAGGTCAGCGGGTCAGCAGAAGCACAAGGAAGCACTGGGCTGCCCGCCTGTTTTCGCTGTTGATTTCGGAAGAGAATGCTGAGACTGCCCCTGCAGAGGGGCTGGGCGACAGCACGTTTGTGTTCAGTGATGTCACTAAACGCAGCTCCCTTTGGCAACACCCATCGCGGTGCTGCCCAGTTGGCCACAGAGGTGCTTCTGGTCTCTAACTCCCTCACTTTAACTGTCTCCATTCATCAACTAGAAGAGAAGATGCATAAGCCAAAGGAGGACTGCAGGAAGATAAATCCCCGAACCTTGTAAACGAGACATTCGCTCACCATTAGGGACAAAGGATATCTGCCGGCCGGGCTTGTCCCCGGGCCTCCGGTGCAGCGGGTGGAAACGGCTCCTTGACGGCCTCTCCACCAGGCCGTGGTGGCGGGTTCCCCGGATGCTGTCCGCCTGGTGGAGCGATGGCTGTAGAGAGAAGGGAAGGAGAGTCAGCCTCGGGTCACGGAATCTTCATCCAACCACCAGCGCAGTGGCTGCTGGCAGCAATGGGCGAAAAGACTGATCGTTATCACCAGGTGTTCATGTGGCAGGGCAAACAGTACAGGAGCTGCTTTATGTAATCACAGAACAATGAGGGTGCTGAGATGAACTAGTTCAGTTTGGAGAATTGGGGGGTTCCAGATTCCTATCCCCAAACCCCAAACTAGGAAGTTAAGCCAAACCATGACAGAGCTGTTCAACACAGGAACACACTGACAGGCAACAGGGCAGCCAGCTGTGACCACACACCCACCTAACCAAGCGCATCTGACACTTCAACAAAACAGAGCATTCTGGCCACCTCAGTCCACATCAGCCACCTTTCTTGTTTTTACATACTTATTTACTCATTTGTAAGTCAGAGTTACAGAGAGAGAGGGAGAAACAGAGACACCTTCCATCCACAGATTCACTCCCCATGCAATGGCCTGGGCTGGTTGAGCTCCATCCAGGCCTCACACAGAGGTAGCAGGGACTCAAACACTGGGGAATATTTTCAGCTTTCTCCCCCTGAGGACATTAGTAGGAAGCCAGACCAGGAGAGCAGCAGCTGGGACATAAAGTGGTGCCTATATGGAATGCCAGCATTGCAGATGATGGCTTTACGTGCTATATACAACACCGACCCCTTCCCTCTCACTTTTAATCCTTATACTTAAACACTCCATTGGCTCACCATGTCGAAGTTTGAGTTAAAGGGAAAAAAGGATATGACATGAATGCATATGGGTGACATACAAGTTGCTATTCCCCAAAAGATACAACCAGAGTATAAGCACATACAAGACAGTCACAGCCAACAAACCCCAAACACGTGGATTTTCTGACACTGAGCTTTGGGAATTAACTCTCCTTTCTCCTAATGGGGGTCGCAGGACAGTCAAATCTATTTTTTAATCTATTAAAAAAAGTATGATTTTTGTTGGAAAGGCAGATTTACAAACAGAAGGAGAGACACAGAGAAAGATCTTCCATCTGCTAGTTCATTCCCCAAGTAGCTGCAATGGGCTGAACTGAGCTGATCCGAAGCCAGGAACCAGGAGCTTCTTCTGGGTCTCCCAAGCAGGTGTAGGGTCCCAATGCTTTGGGCTATCTTTTACTGCTTTCTTAGGCCACAAGCAGGGGGCTGCTGGAAGGGAAGTGGAGCAGCTGGGACATCAACTGGCACCTATATGGGATCCCAGTGTGTGCAAGACAAGGATTTTATTCACTGAGCTATCACATCGGGCCCTCTAATCTACTTTTATAATCCATATCTATAAACTCATAAAAAGATTCTAAGAAGGAGTGACTTCTGGGTCTTCTGAGTAGTAAGCTGGATTCTATCTCTACTAGATAAGAGTCTGCTATTCTAGGCAATAATCGAAGTAACTAAAAAATATTGGGGTGGGCATGTGGCACAGTAATTAAGCAGCAGCTTGGGATGCCCACATCCTGTAAGAGAGCAGTTGTGTGAGGGTCCCAGAGCTGCTCCTAGTTCCAGCTCTCTCTCCAGCACCAGGTGATGGCTCAAGTCCTGTCCCTGCCACCTGTGTGAGAGATCCAGATGGGTTTCCCAGCTTTGGCCTGCCCTAGCCCTGGTTACTGAGGACATTTCAAATAAATGGAAGGAAGGAAAGGAGAGGGAAATGTGGCAAAATAGTAACAAGTAGTGAATTAGGGTGAGAGGGTGTACACAAACTCATTGTTCTATTCTTGCAGTCAGACATTTCTCAAAATAAAACATTTACAAGTTGAAAATATGATGAAAGGCACAGAAGTGAATGCAGGCCTCTGACAGCTGGACTTGCTAAAAACATCTAAAAACAGGATCACCATTTGTTACTTTTTAAATTAACTTTAAAAACACAACATTATTGGCTGAGAAAAATTAATACGCAATTTTGGATGATCCTTCTACATAAAATTAAATCTATTATAATTCTAGTTCTGAGAGACTCCAGTAAAACCTATAATATGGACTCTAAAGGTTTTCTTTTTAAGACTTACTTACTTTTATTTGGAATGCTGAGTAATAGTGAGCAAGAGAGAGACAGAGAGAGAGAAGAGAAAGGAAGGGAGGGAGGGAGGGAGGGAGAGAGTTCATTCACTCTCTAATTGATGGCAACACCCAGGGCTGGTCCAGGCTAAAGTCAGCTTACTCCATCTGGGTCTCTCACCTGTGCAGGGGCCCCAACACCTGGGCCATCTTTTGCTGCCTTCCCAGGTACATCAGCAGGGAACTGGATCAGAAACAGAGCATCTGGAAATCAAATCAGTGTCCATACAGAATATAGGCATCACAGGCTGTGGCTTTATGTACTATACTTTAACGCCTGCTCATCTTAAATGATTCTTAATTATGTCCATCCATTCAGGAAATAGAACTTGAACAAAAATATGTCTAAGCAGCTACTAAGAGTACAAAGATAAATAAATGGAAAAAAAAAAACCCATTGATATTCAAGAGTACTGTCCTCATAGCACACTTCCTAAAGTTTTATTTTTCTTCTGTGGGAAAGAAGACCACTTACATCTGCTGGCTTTCTATACCTCAAATGCCCATGATGACTGGGTCTAAGTCAGGTTGATGCTAGGAGCCAGGAATTCAGCTGGGGTTCCCACGTGCTTGTCAGGGATTCAGTCCCCTCAGCCATCATCCGCAGCCTCCCAGGGTCTGTATTAGCAGGAAGCTGGAGACAGGGCTCTTAGGTACTGAACCCAGGCACTGTAACATGGGACATGGACATTTTACCCACTAGGCAAACCACTGGCCTTCTCTAGCACATTGTATTATCAGATCCTTTGGCTATCACAAATAGAAACAACCCTAACAGACAATCTAGATGCCTTGGCTCCAAGGTGAATGTAACGTACTTGAAACAAAGTTTTCTTCCAGGTGTCTTAGGGCTCAGCCATCACCAAACCAAGGTGTTGAGAATCTGTCGAAGGGGTTCCCCAAGTCAGAAAGTTCTTGAAACATCTTCCAGACTTGCTGGTGCATCTTTATTTTCCACATACGAGCTGCCTCTTTTGCATTAGCTTCTGCTGGCCCAAACACTGTATGACTGCTTAGCCCTAGTCTCAGCTTTGGGAGAATAACCTCTGCTGACACTCGATACTCTCTTTTCTTTCCCTCCATAGTTAAAGCTCAGTGCTCTGTGCCTGCAGCGGCTGCTGTTCGTCTATATGATATTTGGCATCAGACTTCTCAATTTCCATGGTCTCGCTTCGCTCCTCAAATGGGCTGGAGCTGTTTGTCTGGCAGGGAAGCTGTGGGGCTGTGGGAGGCTGAAGCCTGCAGAAGCCCCTGAAGCAGCAGGTGCCTGGCAGAGTGGGCACCTGGCAGTGCCCCTGTCTCTGGGTCCCCAAATACTCCCAGATAATTCATCCAATCTGCCTGATGAGGGCTAAAATTCTGTTATTTCAAGATGCATTTATAAAGTCTACTTTCAAACACAAACATAATACTCTGAATCCTTCAGGCCAAGAACTTCTTTTTGTTGTTGTTGTTGTTGTTGCTTCATAAGTTTTATCCATATATAGTTTTTACAGGGTTGGGCCCACAGAACATATGTTTCTGTGATCTATTTTTTGCACTTAGCATTATTTCATAAACAATTTTTCATGTTACATAATCCTTATGTTTATTCACTCAACAAGTGCACAATATTTCACTTCTAGTGTTCGTGGGGCTAACATTCCAGATTGGGGCTCCAAGAACACAGGATTTAGTCAGAGAAACAGTTCAAGTTCAGGATTCTGCACTTACTGACAAGCTGCTTCATCTTCCTTATTCCTAAAAGTAGAAATGAAGGTGATGGTAATTGCTGGGAAGCACAACATTGGATTTCATGGGAGTGAGTGGTCTCGCCTGGGCACTGGAAGGGTATAGAAAGTAATGGACGCCGAGGGGGTGTGGGCAGGGGAGCCTCAGGTTGGAGGTGGGGCCCCCCCTGCAGAGGTTTTTTTTAAGTCAGGGACTTCTCTAGTGCCCTGAGCTTTCCAAAGCCTCCCACCTGTTGTCCCATGCCACCCTGGACAGCTGAGGTCTGGGACCAGCAAGGGCAGGTTGCAGGGATGGGCAAGGGGAGTTGCTGGGCAGGAGACTTGCTTTGGCCAACAACTTATGAGCAGATGTGAGGTTCATCTTGTCAAAACTGAAACTCTCACCTGCTTTTCCTGCTGCTACAATGCATCATGGTCCACAGAGGGGGATGCCCATTGCAGAAGACAAATGAGGAAAAGCCACACACTCTCAAGAATGGGAGGGGCTGGTGCTGTGGTATAGCCGGCTAATCCTCCAGCTCATGTCCCAGCTGCTCCTCTACCAATCCAGCACCTTGCTAATGTGCCTGGGAAGGCAATGAAACTCTGCTTCCAGTGGAAGATCCGGATGAAGCTTCTGACTCTTGGATCCAACCTGATCTAGCCCTGGTCGACATGACCATTTGTTGAGTCAACTGGTAGATGAAAGATCTCTCTCTGTCTCTGTGTCACTCTCTTGCTCTATCTGTAACTCTGCCTTTCAAATAAATAAGTAAATCCTTAAAAACAACAAGTTGAAGGATAGATAGAACACAAGTATTTGTTGAAGAGGCTCTGGACTAACTATGCAGAGCTGACTAGCAGCGGGGGAGAGGCCGCTATTCCTGAAATGCAGCAGGGAGTCAGAGCCCACAAATGGGTACGTGTGTGTGTGTGTGTTTGGGGGGGGTGTGTATTTATTTGTTTGTAATGAATAATTAGAGAGAGATTGTCCATCTGTTGGTTCATTCCCCAAATGGCCACAATGGTCTGGGCCAAACTGAAGCCAGGAGCTTCTTTTAGGTCTCCCATGTGGGTACAGAACCCCACTTGGGCCATCCTCCACTGCTTTCCCAGGTACATCAGCAGAGGCTGAATGGGAAGAGGAGCAGCTGCAACTTGAAGGGGTGCCTGGATGG